TAATTCTCCACCAGTTAACTGCACTCTCGACATCCTGCTCCATAGTCTCACATTGTGTTTTCTTTGTTTTGTGTATTTTAAGAAATCTCCTTACAAAGTCATAGCAGGGTATTTTCTAGTAGTTTTTCGAATTTTGATTTTTTTCAGATCGCCAACTTTTTAAAATTAAGTTTTGTCTGTCTTGTGAGGAGCACTTTGATCTTTCCATCGGAATAAGCAGTGTGCTGTCTGCCTCCCTGGTACCCACCCAGGTTGAACTGCAAACTCCGCCTGTGCAAGGGCTGTTTCGGCTCTTTGCTTCTGTTTGTACAACCCCCGGTTAGTCCCACAAGCCCCTTTTCTTGTCCTTCAAAATTAGTTCTTCATGATACTTTTCTCCGTGAATTTTAAAATCAGGTCGCCCATTAAAAGCACCGTTGGGGTGTTGCTGCAATTGGCTGTATCTTAAAGGAGCTGGGGAGAGCTGGCAGCTCTGCGATGCAGCGTTTATGTCCCGTGGGGACTTGCGTCCTGGCCACTCTTTGTTCCTTCTTCCTTTCTTCCTTAAAGTTTTTCTTACAATGGTGAATAGGATCTTTTCTCTGTTACATTTCTTATGACAACTTTTTTTGCTCGTCTTCATGCCTGCTGAATTCTTACTAGTTCTAATTGTGTATAGATTGTCTTAAAGGTTCCTAGAGATTGTGAAGATCCCATTGTCTTGTGAATAAGAACAATAAGAAAATTTAAGATTTTTACCCCCACTGTCAGGAGTGAGATGGATTATGATAATTTTTCTTTTCTTGTACTGTCTTTGTTCTGTTTGGTAGGCAAGCCTGTAATAGTGATTTCTTTTTTTCCTGTTCTCTGAAAAAGTTTTTATAATAAATTGGGACTATCGACTCCTGGAAAAGGCTGTTGTGTATCATCCCGTAAAAATTCTGTCCTAGTACTGTTGACGTAAGGAAAGAGAAGTTGTGTCAGACAATAGGTTTTTTAAGTTATTGTTTCACTTCTTTTAGTATATATTTTAAAGAGTTATTCATTTATGCATACAGAACTGGGGTACAGGCCAGAGGTACAGGGGCGGTGAGGTACAGAGTTAGAGTGGGGAGCAGAACAGGCAGATTGACAAAGTCCCC